TATGTTTATTTGTGATAAATATGAGGAAAAAATTTGTTTTTTTTTAATGTTATACATTTTTGGTGAGCTTGTTGGATTGTTTCCAATGTTTTATACATTTTTTTATAAAAATATTATTTTGTGATGAATATGAGAAAAAATTTATTTTTAAGGTTATTTTTTGTGTATGTTACTGATGTCTGTATTCTCAACTTCTTGTTTAGTTGTGACATTTTCTTCTAATTTGTTTTTTTATTTATTACAAGCTATCTATCATTTGTTGCAACTTCATACTCCTTAAATCTGTTTCTTAGCCTCTATGAAGAAAAGAGGTAGGAACTAAAAAGTGCTTTACTAGAAACTAAAAAGTGCTTTACTCATCTCTCATGTTTCCGCATGCTGAAATAAATAAAAACTTAGCCTGCTTTTTATTTCTATTTTTAAATATGCATCTTAATTCTACATTTTAAAGTTGCCATCTTATATAAATTTTTTTTTTCATGTTAAAACCCAACTCAAAAGGTTACTGAGTAAATGAGGTTTGGCCATTTCAAAATCGATTTGGTCATTTCAAAATCGATTTGGCCATTTGAAAATCGACTTGGCCATATTTTTTTAAAATATGAGATTTGGCCATTTGAATGAGCACTTAACACCTTGACCCACACCCTGCATTTGATAACCAAGTTATTAAGTAAATGAGGTGCTGTCTCTTACTACCTTAACTCACAACCCTTCCAAAAGCTGGGAACATCATGCTACAAAAAAATACGTTCTCAAACCCAATTCTAAACCGTGTCAAAGGGTTTTCAACATTAAAACAACATTTTTCAACATCAATATTAAAACAATATAGAAACATATATTGTTGTATCATCTATTGTTAGTTGGACTTATCATTCATTGTTACTTTACCCATTGAATTTATATGAAATTATAAAGTATCTTGCATATTTTCATAATATTCAAATATTAAATTATATAAAAAGTTGTATCAAATTTTTTTATAAGAAAAATGTATGTAATGTGATGGTGTATTCTTAATCAAGTTTTTCTATTTGTTTTTAATAATTTTTGGGGATTTTGACCCTTTTTTTTTTTTTTTAAATCTACTTGACCGGTTAGTCCGGTTAACCGCTTCAATTAGTCTGATTCCTATTCGAACCGCTCCCAACCTCATGACCGGTTAACCGTTCCGGTTCGATTTTGCGAAGATTGCCTCCACCCATGTAATAGTAGAAGTAGAAAACGCCCACCTTGATCGGCTACTAAATTCCTGGATGTTGACTTTAGCAGTCCTTCCTGTCAACGAAACTCCACCAAAAAGTCCATAGTATTGAAAAAAAAAAGAAAAAAAAGACCATCTTCCTTCATTAATGAATAACTGTCTTTCATAAACTTGTTGGGACCAAATGGGGCCTTAGTCTATGCGGTCGCTTGAATGTTAAAACCCTATTTGGGTTCTTGGCAGCAATACTTGAGCGTTGTCTTTACAATACTCGAGCAAAACCTGATCAGACTCGTACTCAGCTCTTTTTTTTAATATTACTTTAATATGTTTTTCAATATCTTTTTAATCGTTAACGGTTCTATTATTGGTATTAACTTGTTTCATTCTTGAGAGTCCCTCGTGAAATATCAAGCTGATATTATTACCCCTCTGATGAAATTCCAGGGCAATTTTATTCCTCACTTGTAAAAAAAGGTTCATCCAAACAGAACCTAACTAGCTAGAAGATAGCTCATATTAAATTAACCATGTTACACAACCAGAGAGAGGTATGGAGAGAGATGAACCATTAAAACGCATGATTACCATTGAAAAGAGAGAAGAGAGTAATGCAATCACCAAGTAATTAGATCAGTTACATTGGACATTATTATTATTATTATTATGTACAAAGTACAAACTACATATCCATGTCAAAGCACATCATATTGATATTCTCTTTTGAAGTCAGATTGCCAAGCTTAATGACCTCTCCAATATTGTCATATTCCTCAACACATCCATGTCAAAGCACGTCATGTTTTTTTATTTATTTTTGGTAAATCAGTGAGGTAAAAGGCCCGGTACCTGTTTTTCATTAACTAAAAAAAAGGGAAGATACAAATCAGTGTTAGAGTCATATCATAGGGCCAATGCCTATTTTTCATTAACCAAAAAAAGGGAAGATACAAATCAGTGTTACAGTCGTATCATAGGGCCAATGCTGTCAGATCTCCCCATGTTTAAGGATTTTCTGGGTTAGAGAAAACAACCACTCAACCATGCTATTTTGGAGACATTATGGCACTAATGTACCAATTTCCTGTACCCACTTTTTCACCAAACACCTCTGGTACCCTCCATCTCCAAAGGAGGAAAAACCTATGCTTTCTACTCTTTGGGTTTTCTATACCCAGTTCTTCATTCGAAAGATAACTTTTGTGTCCTCTTACCTCTAAAAATTTGAGAAGAACATGAGATATCTCTCTAACACTAAATTATGAAGAAACAATGGTCTAAACCAACATCTTCTATCCCCCAACAGACCTAATGAGGGAGGGTGGCGCCCAGAGCTGTGGTCCGGGGCTCAGAGTGAGAAGACATAGGAGGATATCCTTTACAGGCTCTCTGTAATTGGTGAAATCGTTCTAGATCAAAATTCTTTGACTTCATTAGTTTGTATTGTTTTTCACTGAATCTTGAAGCAAAAATTCCTTCAAAAGATGGTTCTCTCTTGGTCCTGAGGAAGAAAGTGTAGCCAGCCATGGCATACACAGAGGTGACAAAGAAACAGATGGGCTCCATAACATCCCATGAGAGCTCCCAGAAGGTTAGCCTCATGAAGAAAGCTGTCTGGGCCGCTACAATCCCTAGACCGCATGATAGCTCTCGACGTACGAGTTGCTCTGCAAGACCATCGATATCCTCCTTCTCCTTCTCCATTTTCTCTAGTTCTCGTCGTCTGGGATCATCCGGCACCGACATGGCTACAATGTTTTCTACAGCTCTTGCAACCTGAATCAAATTTCAAAAGAAGTCCATTATGAGCACATAAACCACCAAGTTATCAATAGCTCTTGTTACCTAAATCAAAATTTGTAAGCAGCCATTATTAGCATAGAAACCATTCTTAGATTTTTTTTCTTTTATAGGTGTTGGTGATTAATAATTCAAATAGAAAAGAAGTAAGTTTACATCAAGATCATGTGTCCCTTGTGCTAAAAAGTCCCAGTAGCCCCTAGTCATCTAATCTAAAATTGGGCATTTTGAATATCTTAATGGTTAATGTCTTCATAAATATGTTTTTATTTAGAATAATTAGTATAAATAAATGATATATAATTATTGATTTCACATTTGAAGCAGCTGAATGTGACTCTTGAATCAAAATCTACTAATATAATTTTAAACCATGAATTACACTCATAAGCATTTCTTCTCCAGTGAGATTAGGACAAATTATTTTTGTTGAAAAGCTAGGCTCCAAAATCCGAAAGGCTAAAACCAAAAAAATCTAAGGCTGATTTTTAATCGAACGCCCAATACCATTTGATCTGAACCGTCCATTTATGAACCCGTACCACAAGCCAGCTGGCCAACCAAAGTAAAAAATGACCAAAACACCCCACTATCTACTCATGTTACCAGGCAAGTGAAAAAACAGAACAGAGGCTCTGCTTCGATATTTTAGAGAGAGAATTTCAGCTGTGTTTGGAGAGAGGTTTTGGAAGAAAGTGTATCAGACACGTCAAAAAAACGAAAAAGTCGTTATTTCAGAAAAACAGTCGGAAATTCCGCCATTTTCATAATCCATGACTTTTTTTCTTCCAAACGAAAAGGAAAACCCTCGTACCCCAAAGACACCGTCATTTTGGTAAAAGAATCAAAGGTATTCAGTCATTTTAAGAAAAAATAAGTTACTGAAAAACAAAAAAAAAATTGACAAATCTCTCACCTGCTCCGGTCTAAGAAATACCAAGTCACCGAGCACTATAACGCTTCCGTTTTCTTCGAGCTTTTTCACGATATTTAGCGAAATATCGGTGTTCGTAAGGCCGATTTTTTCTCTGCAAATTCTCACGAACTCATCGTAGGTTATGCAGGGCTTTTCAAGCTCTCTGAGCGAAGCTTTAATGGCATCGAGCTGAGCAATCTCAACCAGCTTTTGCACGTCTTTCACCGTGACCCTGACTCGCAGAGGATCGACGGCTGGGGGTGCTAGGGTTTCGAGGTGGAGGCGATCGTGGCCGTTGATCTTCTTGATCTTCTCCATGAGCATGTCGCCCAAGGGGAGGGAGAAGACCTCCGGCGATGTGGCCGCCTGAAAAATGCCTCTGCGCTGCAAAAATCGACGGAAGTTTTGCTTCTCACTGGAAATTGATGGGTTTTCTGGCAACTTGGGGATTTTGCTTATGTAGATGGAGGTGGGCCTGGGGTTCGGTGGTCTGTGCATTAGTTGTCTCAGAGCTCTACGAGCTGCCATTTTTAAAGAGAGAAATGCAAAGAGATCGTGAGAGTGAGAGACTGGAGACAGGCGAGTTCAATGACACCAAGAAAAGGAGGGCGATGGCGATTCTTTTGGAAATGCGGGGGAAATATAGAGAGAGAGAAAGGGAGACGGAGATTTAATGCGAAGACTCCGAAAAAGGAGGGCTATTCGATTTTGAATTGCAGGGTTAATGGGAAGGACCCTGTCCCTTATATAGGCAGATGAGAGAGAAATATTTTGACAGAGAAATAGATGACAGCTTAGAGAAAAGAGAGAAGCAGACAAAGAAGATAGAAGGGCATATACGCATTTTGACATTTAGAGAGAGAAACAGACAAAAATGAGCGAGGAAGAAGAGAGAGGGGGGGTTGACGCACGGCGAAGGGACCCTTTGGTTCCAGAAAAAAATGACACCAGAGAGAGAGAGAGAGAGAGAGAGAGAGAGAGGAGAGAGAGAGGACAGTTTAGAGAGAGAGAGGAGGAAAGTGAAAGTAGAGTGAGAGAGGCGCATCTCGCGCCTCGACGGCTGACGCAAGGCGATGGAAACCGCTGGTTTCCAAGCGCGGCGGGAGATCTGACTAAATGACGGAAATACCCCTTAACCGAATTCTACTTTACAATTCAAGACACAGAGAGACCAGATGTTTCTTTGTTGAGCCACGTAAGCGTCTCTGCGAAAATGTTTATACATAGCCGAGGCTTTAAACGATCAAATTAAAGCCTACCTCAAACATTTCATTAAAAGAGGTTGTTTTTTATGCTCAAATTGATTGTCTCGACATCAAGATGCATGCAAATGACAAAAAAAGTGGATTTCAAGTTTTGAAAATAGTTTATTTTATAACGTATTTTTTTATCGTCAATTTTCAAGTTTTTATATATCTCTCAATCTATATTATGTTTTAAGATTTAAAATTTATAAATAAAAATAAAAATATATTTTAAAGCTATCAAAAATATTTTCAGCATTGAAACCATATTTTTCGACACCATTTGAGTGTAGGCTCTAATTTAATTGTTTAAAGCTAGGCTCCATACTGCACCCTTATATTAAAGACAATTAAACTTAGTGCTTTTTACATTATTAAGTTTAAATTTTTTTAACTTTTAAAAAAATTAAACTTAGTAACGATTAAAGGCACATGCCGTATGCGTTATAAATAACGGTTTACGGCATCAAATTAAGTAACGGTTTACGGCTTCAAATTAAATAACGGTTTACGGCATCAAATTAAGTAACGGTTTACGGCTTCAAATTAAGTAACGGTTCGTGGCTCTAAATTTCGGTGTGTTTCGGCAGAGAATAGATAAATATCGGTTCGGCGATGGGGTTGATTTTGTCAATTTCTCAGGCAGTAGAGGACAAATGTTAAAGGGGTATTTTCGAACTTTAGCCCACATGGTTAAAGTCTACAATGGACGTCAGCCAGCCTTAGGTTTCTTGCGGGGGTCCACTCGTCAAATTTAGGAAGTGCGGGTCCAGCCTCATTCCCCCAACGTAAGAGAGAGAAAGACGTTTTTTTGTCTCCCTTAGGTTAAAACTAGAGAGAGAGTTCTTATTCTTTCTCTTTGCTTGGCACTAGTGAGTTTTTTCCCTCTCTCTTTCTCTCTTCATTTTTTTTTTTGTGTAATGCTTTGAGTGTGGTTTGCATGAGGTTGCAGCTTTGAACGATCTAATTAAGGACCACATCTAAATTTTATCGTAAATATGTTTTTTATATAAATTTTTTTTAAGATGGATAATCTATTTTCATCTCTAATTATAAAATTTTAAATTCTAAAAATAGATCAAATCCAGTAGATTTATAAACACATCAAAATATTGAAAATAAACGGCTCAAATAATGTGTTACAAGATACATTATGTTGTGGACTCGAAATCTTTTATTTTTATTTTTGTATCCATACATCTCGATATTTCCAACATCCAAACAACTTTATATGATGGATTTTTTAGGTGCACTTTTAATTCTACATTTTTAGGTAGCAGGCTTATATAAATCTTTATATATATATATATATATATATATATATATTATTTTTTTTT